CTGGATACATTTGTAATATTCTACTTGGTCTCACAGTGAGCAGTTCAAGTAGACACACCACCTCCACAGCTGGACTGCCACAGTCTCACAACACAGAGCAAAGTCCTACATGGTGATGGTCTACCTGGGTCCTACACGTGATGGTGTACCTGGGTCCTACAGGGTGATGGTCTACCTGGGTCCTACACGGTGATGGTGTACCTGGGTCCTACAGAGTGATGGTCTACCTGGGTCATACACGGTGATGGTTTACCTGGGTCCTACAGGGTGATGGTCTACCTCGGTCCTAGAGAGTGATTGTCTACCTGGGTGCTACAGGGTGATGGTCTACCAGGGTCCTACAGAGTGATTGTCTACCTGGGTCCTACAGGGTGATTGTCTACCTGGGTCCTACAGGGTGATGGTCTACCTGGGTCCTACAGGGTGATGGTCTACCTGGGTCCTACAGAGTGATGGTCTACCTGGGTCCTACAGAGTGATTGTCTACCTGGGTCCTACAGGGTGATGATCTACCTGGGTCCTACAGAGTGATTGTCTACCTGGGTCCTACAGGGTGATGGTCTACCTGGGTCCTACAGAGTGATGGTCTACCTGGGTCCTACAGGGTGATGCTCTACCTGGGTCCTACAGGGTGATGGTCTACCTGGGTCCTACAGGGTGATGGGCTTACCTGGGTCCTACAGGGTGATGGTCTACCTGGGTCCTACAGGGTGATGGTCTACCTGGGTCCGGAAATCCTGCTCTGCTGATGTTCTTGTATGCTCCTCTCCCACTCTCCACTCCACCTCCCAGTAACAACTTCCAGTCAGACTCTCTCTGCTCAGGACCTGAGTGTAGTTTGTGAATCTGTCTGGATGATCAGGATAAGACTGAGGTTTATCCGTCCGGGTACCTTCCTGTTCCCCTCTGACAGTCTCTCTGCTGTATTTGGATCCAGTGTGATGTCACGTGAACATCTTAAGAAGTCGGCTCTGCTCTCTGGTTCTGGTGGCAGTAAAACATCCGGCTGAGCGGCTGCCAGTGAGACTTTAGTCCAGTCCTGTGTCAGGATGTGCTGCAGTTTGTCTGTGAGCTCTGACACAGCTGCTGTCACATCCTCAAAGTATCTCAGAGGAGTGTGTTACTCACGACGTGTGGTGTTAAATGACTGAGAATTTTTTAAATTAAGCTAAGGAAGTTTTTTTTCCGTCTAATATAAAAGGCTGAGATGTAGTAAATTGTTTTAATATATTGTACATTTCTGTTAAAGTTGCAATAAAGTCGTTTATAACTACACAACTGATACTATACCTACCACAATGTAACAAGGAATTATTATATGTATCTCCAAACCAGACAAGGACCCTAGATTTTTTGAGAAGAGAAGAACCATTACACTCAATATACTAAATTATCATTTGGCTGTATAGTGCAACTTCACATGTTTTTTTCTGTTTTTATTTTCTATAAAAATGCGTTTTTCTGCTTTGTGACTGACGATGTTTGATCATCTGTTATTAATTTAAAGAAACTCAGTTCATACTCTCATTTCCCTAAAAGATGGACAGCAAACTGAGCTCTTTTTACCTAAATTCACTGAGAGGAGGGTTTTTTCTGCTTATTTTACTGCTGAGTGACGTATTTCCAACTGATCAAAGTCCAGAGACAACATTTGGCTGCTTTTTCCCTTTAAAACGCCATCCTCCTGGTCTCACGCCCCCGATTAAGGACACTATTTAGTGTTTTGTGTGGTCGGCGTGCAGCATCAGACAGCAAAACTCAGATCTCCCAAAAGATAATGCACCTCCAGGGATTTGTGATCGATGGCTGTACGAGGACTAAAAAGAAATAAACCGTTTGTGCTGTTTGATCCTGTTGGTCCGGCTGGTTTCTGAGGCTGCCACTTTAGTCTGCTTAACCTGAATGTTTTCTAAAGTGTGGGGAGATGCTGCATATTTTAGATGTAGAAATACCCACAAACACTTAAGTCCACATTCATTCTGCTGAATACAGTTAAATGAAAGAGTCTGTAAACTACTGGCTTCTGATGAATGCGTAAACTTTGGTCTGTTTTTAGTCCAGGAGCTGCTGGAGGACAGGAATCTTACATTTTTCC